TGCGGGATGCGTCTTGGAGATGCTTGACAATCATGTGGGCGAGAAGGGCTACATGATGCCTCTAGACTTGGGCGCCAAGGGCTCTTGCCACATCGGTGGCAATGTAGCGACCAATGCTGGAGGCTTGAGATTCTTGCGCTATGGCAGTCTGCATGGAAACGTGTTGGGGCTGGAGGTGGTGCTGCCAGACGGGAGAATTTTGGATGGGCTCAGCACGTTGAGGAAAGATAATACGGGTGAGTCGCTACTACAATGAGGCATCGATCAGCCGAGCGCACTCACGCGACTCGCTTGGCTCACCGAATATGTCCCACCCTGACTCGCTCGCCACAGGCTTTGATTTGAAACAGCTTTTCATAGGAAGCGAGGGATCTATCGGCCTAATCACTGGCGTCTCCATCGTAACCCCTCGACGGCCAGCGGCTTTCAACGTCTCCGTCTTTGGTCTCAACTCATTCGAAGCTGTTCAGAAGCTCTTCCCTAAAGTCAAGGCATCACTCGGAGAGATCTTGTCAGCTTTCGAATTCTTTGATGCGCATGCCATGTCTCTCGTTAAGGGTCACGCCACCGCCGGGGTCAAAGATCCGTTCGAAGCTGCGCATCCCTTCTATGTGCTCATTGAGACGGGAGGTAGCAACAAGGACCACGATGATGAGAAGTTGTCAGCTTTGCTGGAAGAGCTGATCGAGGACGAATGGGTGGACGATGGGGTGTTGGCTGAAAACACGACTCAGATCTCTCAGTTGTGGGCCTTGAGGGAAAGCATTCCGGAAGCTGCGGGCAAGGCTGGTAGGGTTTACAAGTACGACTTGTCCATGCCTGTGGAGAAGATGAACGAGTTGGTGGAGGAGATGAGGAGTCGATTCGAGTCCAAGGGCATCCTTGGTGCCGACAAGATGTTCAGTAGCGTCGTAGGCTACGGTCACATAGGAGATGGAAATCTGCACATTAACATTGTGGCGAAGGAATACTCGGACGAAGCAGAGACGGAAATAGAACCGTTCATCTACGAATGGACTTCGAATGTCAATGGATCGATCAGCGCTGAACACGGAT